GGGAGAAAAAACCAGAGGTGTTAAGAAGTGTTAGTAATGGTTAGGAAGTGTTAATAATAACCTTCCCAACACCTCAATTGTCCATTTTTTAACACCCCGATTTGGAGTGTTTTGAGATGTTGGACAATTATTACCCTTCTCATTTGCCCGAAAAACATAAAATGCTTCGACATTTCACTTCGAATGTCTTTCCCACAGGTCTGATAGTTTGTTTCTTCATCTCTTCTCTTTACTCGTTCTTTACTCTTTCTTTAACACTTCCATTATTAACACTTCATTCATTTGACTCTCCCAAACAAGGTAAAATTATGTCTAACACTTACACTTCCCTTCCCTTCCGAGCCCTTACTAACACTTACTAACACTTCCATTACTAACACTTTCAAACACTCCATCCAAACAGGCCCTAACCTTTCAACTTCTCAAATTTGGAATCGCTGCACATCTCTCGACCATCCAGCCAACACCGCCACAGAGCTTTCACTTGCCGCCGTCGCCGCAGAGCTTCAATTGCCGTCGCCGCCGACCAGCTTCCACTCGCTGTCGTCTCCGCCCAGCTTCCACTCACCACCGCCACCGCCTTGCTTCCTCTCAATGCAGCATCATCTTCCACCACCACCAGGTCACCACCATCGCCATCTCAAGCGGTAGTCAGCGCCTCCACCCCTACCGTTGTCGCTATCATGAGCCGTCACCACCGACTCCTCTCCTGGTCCGTCTCTGACCTAGGTCCTCATCGCCGTTGATGTCACTCAGGCAAGTTTCTGCCTACTATCTTCTCTTCTGGTTGAACAATCGAAGATCGATGATGAATAAACTGATGCGACGACCGTGGGGGTACAGATCTGTGGCGATGTTTTCCGGGCGATCTCGTATGGTGCGCCGGCAGCGAGGGTCAACACCGGATGGGTGAGGCTACGGATTGGTGGTTGTTGAGGTCAACGGCGAGTCTAGTCTACTCTGAAATCTCTACTCTGAATTGGGAGTGGCTGGGGTGGCTGGACTTGTGCGACAGGGGGGTGGTTGTTGCGGACTGGTGGGGGTTAATGGCTAGTCTAGCTTGACATGGTAGGGGCAGAGAGCGGGGCTGGTTGTGCCGGGTGCGAGGTTTGATTTGACTGCTGGGGCAGAGGTAGGGTGGCACTGGTTGGGGAAAAAGACATCGAGGCGGGGTGGTCACTGGCGGGATCTCACTATTTGGTTTGTCACCGAAATCGGTTTGGTTACTGGGGTCGGCATCGGGTTGGTCACTAGGGTCGCGATGGTCACTGAAATCGGGGTGGTCATGGGGGCAGGGTGTCACTATAGTCAGGATGTCACTTGAGTGAAAATGTAATCGGAGTCGGGTCAGTAAGTGTTGGTAATTGTAACAACATTGCTCACTGGACAAAAGTCACTGCACATTTGGTCACATCACATTGCTCACTGGACAAAAGTCACTGCACATTTGGTCATTGTGATGTGGGTCATTAGTGGGACATATTAATTTTTGGTCACTGGATGAATTTTGTAACTATGTCATTGGTAACTGTAATATTAGTCACTATACATTTGGTCACTGTGACGGGTTACTGTAGCAGTCCAGTGGGTTTGGGCTTAGTAAGGGTGTAACATTCCCTTAACTATTATTTAGTCTTATTTTTGGAATTTAAAAGAAGAGTCTTTTTTTATCCAAATGCTTTTTAATTAGTATTATTTGAGTACAAACCCCTTATTTGAATCCAAATCCTATTCATACTCTTCCAACCCATATTCAAATTATAAGCTGCCGCATGAATTCAAATTATATCTATGACAACAAATTAACTTCTTCAAATACACTTCAAATTACAAAACTCCGGATTACAAGAATTGAGGTTTTCAAAATTTCACAAGGACATGCTTCTGCAATAAAAAAATCAAATACTTCTCAAAAAAGGTTATCACCGGTTTTGAACCACCACCGCCGGAAGATAGTTGAGGGCAGGGTTGGATTCGGGTCGGGTCGGGTCGGGCCCGGGCCCGGGTCGGGCCTAGGCCCGGCGGGCTTTCTGGGATTTCGTGTTGGGCCCGGGACCGGCCCGGGTATCCACCGGGTCCGGGCCTCGGGCCTCGGGCCTCTATATATATTTTATTTTTCTTTTTTCTAATTAACCCCCGACCCCCCCCCCCTCACCCCTACCCCCCCAAACCAGCCCAAATGACCCAAAATACCCAGCCCAACCCGGAAAGTTAAAAAGAATTAAAAAAATTAGAATAAAGTCTGGACCGGGCCCGGGTTCCATTTTCCCCATACCCGTACCCGGCCCGCTACCCTCCCTAAATCGGGCCAATGACCCGGAACCGGTACCCGGTTCCCGGGCTGGGCCGGGCCGGGCCCGCACAGTACCGGGCCGGGCGGCCCGAACCGGGTCCATCACTACTTGAGGGTAGAGCCAAGGGTTGATGGGCAAATAGGTGAGAGTGATTAGGATAAAACATGAGGTGTGTGGCAATATGGAGTGCAACGAATTTTTTCAGAGTTGCCGCTTGTTTTTTCAGAAATATTACCCATTTTTTAATGTGAAATGACGCGCTTATTTTCTAGAAGTGTCCGCTTTGTGTAGGAGTTGCTGAGTCACGGTGTTGAATGCACTTTGGAATTCCCCACGGTGGGTTTGAAAGGGTTGAATCCACATCAGCATTAAAGAACTCATGATGGTGTGCATTGGAGACAAAATACGTATCATTCTTTCAGAAATTAATGACGCTTAATTTTTTCCTCTTTCAAAAGAGAGGCGATGGAGATGCTCCAGAGTTTCACGCAATTTCGACTCGAAAATGAGTCAAATCCCTCTTCATGCCGTTGGTCTAGGGACCCATTTTTAGTTCTGAATTGGAATCAGCTAGGATCCTCTAAACTGTGATCGGTTTTTACTGTTTTTTTTTTAATTTTGGTATGACTTATTTTAAACGACCGAAATGGCTTATTGTTTTAAATAGATTAAATAGAAAATTGTCCAACATAGGACTAAAACTCAACCTTTTTCTCAAAATAGGACTAATCTTACCTTTTTACCCCTAATCCTATTTAATTAATTAATTGATCTAAATAATTGTCCCCCCTAATTTCCTTGCACAACCAAGGCAGTCCGTCGGTGGCGGGGCAGTCCGTGGTGGCGGCATCACTCCGGCAGCGGATTCCGGCGGCGGCGGCGGCGGCAACTCCGGCAATTAATTAACCCAATTAATTGCCCCCTAGTTCTCTTGCACAACCAAGGCAGTCCGTTGGCGGCATGTGGCGGCAGAATGTTGGCAAACCTCCAGAAAAAAAAAATCTGGAATTTTTCCGGCGGCGGCCGATGACAGGCGGCGGTCCGGCAGTCCCTGGGCAGTAGTGGTAAAGGTTGTGAGGGGTATTTTGGTCCAATCACTAATAAAAAGTCCTATTTAAGGATGTTTAAACTAGGTACTCCTATTTTGAGAAAAAAGTCATGTTTTGATCCTATTAAGGTAAATCTCCCTAGATTAAAAACCAAAATCGAATCAAAATTCAATTGGGCTTGGGGTACACAAAACTCATACACATACCTACATACTATAAATAGGCCCCAAAATTACCATTTTTTTACCCCCTTCTTCCCTCACATAAAATTGCAACCCCTACCTCTCTCCTCTCTCTCCCTTCATCGTTTCTTTCTTCTTCCCGCACCACATCGACACGCCAGCACCTCCTCTCCTCAAAATCAATGGATTTTGGTGGCTTTGTGAAGGAAACGATCATTACAACAGACGAATTTTGGGCTGAATTGGAGCAAAAGGCTGATGCTTCTCGAGCTGAAGGAGAAATTCCGGCGACTGGAGATAACGGAGAAGCGGCGGCGGCCGCCTTGGACGACATCCCTGAGCTTCGTATGAGTGTGTGTTGATGTTAGATCATTTATGTATTTGATTTCATTAGCTTAGCTTTGAACATAAATAGATGTTTGTTCTTCACAGACAATTCTCTGTATTTGTAGTGTTTGTGTGCAGTGTATACTATTGTCTATGTGTTTGTGATGTGTATATAGTTGTGTCTGTGTTTAAAATGTTTTAAATTTACTTATGTCTTTGTGTAAATAAACATCTATTTGAAATGTCTGTGTAAATATAGTTGTGTCTGTCTATGTGTATATATACTTCTGAAATGTGCATATTTGGTGTGTGGGTTTTGACTCTTAGCATCTCTTTATATAAATTATATATATATATATATATATATATTACGTTATCAACTTGCATTTATATAAATATTGATAGTCCTGGTCATCAAGGGGCACTCTTAGCAGCTCTTATTCTGGATGTCCAATATGCAAAAATCATTTTTAGATTACATTCTTATAGTACTGAAAACCATGGGGACATTGCAAATACCTGAAAATGTTTTAACATCATTTGAGTAGTGAAACAGCTAGCTAGTTTAGCTAATGTGAAACAATATAAACCCCCAACCATGCTGTAAAAATCATAAATGTCTGCTAGTAATTCATCACAAGAGATGAGTTCTTTGAACATAGTAGGTGGCATTCAATGTATGGTTTGATAGATTAATTAGTCGAATCATATCAATCCGATTATTTAATTCCATTCAACATCTGTTTCATATTTGTAAACTTTGATTTAATACTTATAGTCTGTAATCATTTGTAATAAATATAATAAATGTAATCAAAGTCAAGTTTACACATGGGCTCCAGTGGTAATCAAAGTAATAAATGTTTTAGTTATTAAATTACATAAAGTAGTTATTAAAAATATCTTAAGTGGATGTAAGAGCGCATACATAGCACAGACAATAACGACACAAAGCACATACAAACTCGTATTACAGCACAGACAAGATTTTTCTTCTGCACAGGCAAAGACATCCTCCATATATACTACGTATTAACACCATTAAAAGTATGTGTTTGCCACAAAAACGAAAAGGCATACCAAATTATTGAATATTTGGGAGTACATTCTAGGACATTGTACAACATTGTTAGTGTAACATTGTACAACCTCCTACATTTTTTTTTTTTTTTTTTTTTTTTTATTTTTTTATTTTTTTTTTTTTTTTTTTTTTTTTTTTTTTTTTTTTTTTTTTTTTTTTTTTTTTTTTTTTTTTTTTTTTTTTTTTGTCTTCATAAATAACAAAATGAAATTCATAGTTTAGCATAAGAACCTATTTCATGTGATAGAAACCACAGAATAGAGGTGCAATTTAGTGCACCTTTTAAAACGACAAATGATTGTAAATCCTTGCAACATAAATAGTAAATTTAGATTGTGACATTGTTATTTCATTCCTACTTCATCATATTACGTGCCTTCCCAACCTCCTTCACGGCATTCAAGTGGTTGTCCTTGACCTCATTAATCTCAGATGTCAAAAGTGCTGCACAATATTTTGATCTTAATGCACTCAGCGCCTTTGTATCGCCTTTCTTCAATCCACATTTCCATCTTACAGTCCCTTCGCCCATGTACGTCTCCATGTGTCTCATGCTCCAAACACCGTAGTCATACACATTGTTCAGTTCCCTCCACCTCATCTTCAATCTTGTCAGCTTCGGTTCATAAAATGTGTTGCGGTCATTATCCATTCCCAATTCGGTCAAGAAGTCAACGAACATGTCCCTCAGGGTGTGTGGCATCTCACCATACTTTTCCTCAAAGTCAATCTCATCGGCAGAGTTATCCAACACCTCGACCTGCTGTTTTTTCATGTTCAAAACCACAACATAACAATGTTGTGGTTGCACAATAGGAAAGAAGAACTGCACATTGAAGACACTTAATTAAAAAAACGATTATCACTACACTAAAATAAACCTTTTGTGTTTACAATTCTAAACTATATGTACCAGATCAACATCTTGTATTTTTTTTTTTTTTTTTTTTTTTTTTTTTTTTTTTCTTTTTTTTTTTTTTTTTTTTTTTTTTTTTTTTTTTTTTTTTTTTTTTAAGAAAAGGGAATTTTATTGAAATGAATAAACAGTACAATGCGAAGAGGAAATAAAAGGAAAAAAACAATATAGAGAAAGAAAGCCTTAAAAAAAACTACACCCACGGAAATTCTCTAGTCTGAGACCTAGTTGTCATGCTGTGCCGCCTTTTATTCTTTTGGGATTTCCTGTAGATTTTCAGTTGCGTATTCAGGTTTTCCGTTGGAAGGCAATTCTCAGAGGTAACAAACTTTGATTTTGTGCAAATCGCTCTGTTGAATTTTGATTTTCCGATTTCTGTCGGTGTTGAGATAGGGGGACGACGATCGCTTTCAGTTGCATGACCCAGAAAGTCGTCCATATAAAATGAGTCATCTGATTGATAAAAGTTGTCTGATGCGTCCGAGTATGCCTCAACAAGCCTGGGATGTTCCACTAGAGTTGGAGACCATTGTTGCTTTGGAAAGGCTCCCCGAATTTGGGAATCAAAAATAAGCTTAGATATTGATGTTGGCTCCTCTGTAAACCCTGTGACTTCTTGTAACTGGTGCATAGGTTCCTCCTGCACTAAATCAAAAATTCCCACGAAATTAGAAAAGACTCCTAGAAATTCGTGCAGTCTTGCTTTTTGTGGGCCCGCTGGAATTAAAATGAAAGTTCCTTTTTCTTTGGCAATCTTTATGAAGCCTCCAGCTTTATTAAAATTTGAATAGACCGAGATAGACCCAAATCTCTTTAGTTGTCGCTGTCCTGTGAGCTGATAAATATAACGGATGATTTGAGGAGCCAATTCTAGATTAAAACTAATCTTGTGCAGCTGCGACTTCTTGATCTCAAAAATTGCAATTTCATTATTTCTGATTCCAAACCTGAAGACTTTAGATTCTATTATGATAGAGTCAAATCCTTCTTCTCCATAAAAGTAGAACTTGTCTGCCTCCTCTAAATTGGTTGCAGGTTCTAATTGGAGACCATCTGTATATGGAAAAATAATATCATTAATATGAGTAATGTTATTATTAGACCGAGTCTCTCTTGCAGCTGAGAGGAGGGGTGCTGTTTGGGCCCGTGCGTTTTTATCCTTGTCACCCCTCAGTAGATCAGCCCATGTGTGAGTTGCAGGTGAGGAGGTACTTGGGTCCATCCTGTTCTCTGTAACTCTGTTAGCGCTGGGTGCCTTATCAAACCATGTGAGCTGCAGCTTGGCAGTATTAGTCTGGGTGTGTTCCGCATTTAATCGTCCCAGATTGGCTTCTTGCGTAACTGGTCCTACCGAAGTAGCCGGTGCCTTATCAGCTTGTCCGATTACGGCTAAGATTCCCGGCGCAGGTGAGAGATTTGGCGATGGTGGTTCTGGGACAGACCTCTCCATGGCTACGATTCCTCTACTTAAGCATCCTTTGCCGAGCACTGCGTCAGGGCTTAATCGATTCCGGTGCTCAGACCTGCGGCGAACCACAAAACGACGATTGTGTTCGTCTTTGTGCCTGTAGGTCTTTTTGAATCGATTATATTGATGTTCCTGTTCTTGGTTACACTCTTGTGTGGGCAGGGGATAAAAGGCATCGTCGTCTTCAGATTCAAGTAAAATGAAACGATTCTGATTATCAACTAACCGGGCTGTATCTGTGTAGTCTGAGATACGTTTCCTTGGATAGTGATTGTAGAGCCGTCTTCTGTGACTTACTGTGCTCCAATAGCCATCCTCTTCTTCTTCGTTGGAGGTGTGGAGGGGATGAGCACAATTGACATCAGTCGATTGAAGTCTAGGGTTTCCTTGGATAGTGATTGTACAACCTCCTACATTTAACAACTAAACACATCCAACACTAAACATGGAGTCCCAAAGTAGTCTAAGTGGATCGCTTCCTCAAAGTTCAGTGCCTCATTGCGAATTCACATCTTTTCGCTGCCATGTTCTCATATGCACACTCGGGCTGCAATGGCAAGTTCTGCATCTGTGACTCGGCAAAGGCCATTACCATCACGCCGCAAACACCGGATCTGGACATAAAAGATTGCATAAAGACATTAATCCCCGGTTGGAGAAGTGAACCACAACTGTACAATACATTGGAAAATTCATTACTTCTCCAAAGTCCTACACATTTTTTCAATTGGACATGTTTTAGTAGAGTCACACAGACAAGCATATTACTCACACAGACATATGTAGACTCATACAGACAATCATTTAAGTCTTCACAGACAAATGGAGCCACAAGCAATTACATATAAGTTCACACAGACAAGGAACTACGCATATGTATCTTCACACAGACAATACATATGTCCTTCAACAGGCATCAAATTAACCTTACACAGACAATACATAGAAAGCAATGACATATCCCCAAAATGAACTTGAGTTACTACCTAATAGATTGGGAGATGGAGTCCAATTTCTTAATGCAGTTTAACCCAAGTTCTTTTGACCCACTTGAATTCTGTTTATAGCATAGAGTGTCTATTACTGTTGTGGCAAGCGGTGTTTAAACAATATATCATAGACCATACTGTGTAAGATTTCAATGACCGAGTAAAAGGTCGCTTAACATTTTTAATAAAACTACAAAATAAATAATCCGCATTATTTTAAGGTACCCGAGGTCCAAATTAATCAAGCTATTTTAAGGAATTTGATCCTCAACATTCCACAATTCTAAAATAAATTGGAAAAATCATTACTTTTCCAAAGACCTAGAAATTTTTCCTTTGGACCTGTTTTAGTAGTCACACAGACAATCATATAACACACACAGACATATGTGGAGTCGTACATACAATCATATAACTCTTCACAGACAATGGAGGCACATCCTTTTACATATAACTTCACACAGACAAATAACTACACAAAATCTTCACACAGACAATATATATGTTCTTCAACAGGCATAAAATCAACCTTACACACACAATGCATATCCCCACATGACATATCCCCACACAAAGCACAAATAAATTGATATTTGTGCATTGTTCAAAATCCAAGCACTAGATGGGGTTCCAAAACATGCTAAACAAAACAATCTTACTTCACCCTCCAAATAAACATCATCAACTATATCTACACTAAAAATTTCAAGAATAGAGGACCATACCTTTCGGCCAATGCAAAAAGTGGGGTTCGCACCATTCTTTGTCAATTAAGCAGTGCTGGTTGCACGGGACGACTGGCTGGGGAAGAACGCTCGTTTCACCGCCTGTTGCACCGGCTATTCTTCGACCCCTTCGTTCAGAGACGTACACCGCCGGGTGGGGGGACGAACGCCGCCGGGTGGGGGGACGAACGCCGCCGGGTCGGTGAGGGCTTGGCAGAGGCTCGCCGGTTGCAGGGATGAAGGGAAGGGAGCGGAATCGTCAATGGCGGGAGGAAGGGATGCGCACAGGGGGGGGTTAAATTGGATTTGGGATTTTTTTAGCTAGGTACGTGTGATTGGGAAGAGGAAGGGGGGTAAATTTTTTTAAGGAGTATTTATATAGTGTGTATGTGTGTGTATAAAATGTGTGTAACAATAGGCTTTTTGATCAAAATTAGTTCATCTAGATAAGGTCATCTAGATTCTACAGTCAATCACTATCCACATTCGTTCTCCGAAGGCAAAGCATTAAATCAATCGTACTCATTTATGTTTTTATTATACTCCCTCCGTCTCTAAATGTGGTTCCAATTGCGGATTACGAAGGTTGACCGACGATAAAGTTAAATGATCCCTGTGAAAACTCGGATTATTTTTAGTAAATAAAATTTACATATTCAGAAACTACATTAAACCCACACAAAGTCTGCAAAAAATAATTCAACTTTTATAAAATTTTGATATAAAAAGTAAGAGTTTAAGAATGATTTAAGTTGACCCTCGATAAGCGAAATGGAACTTCTTTTAGGGACAGAGAGAGTAGGATTTATAGCTATCCTACTTTTTTTTTATTATGGACTTCTTATTTATTTTATACGTTTTTTTATTAATCGTCCTATTTTATGCTTGTGGGATAGAGTTAGTGTTTATTTTATAGAGCGACAGTATATCGAGTATGCCAGTATATACCACTTACCACTATACCACCAGTAACATCCTACACGGCTACACAAGTACACATGCACCATCTAATTATCTACCCTTTAAAAGTTTTCACGTGTTTCAGATGTTTTACGCTAATCTTTAATGAAACAAATGATAATTCATCAACTTTTAACACATTACTTCACAAGTAATTTCCCTAAATTGTAGCCTTGTGTATAAGAAGTTGCGGAAATAATCTAGTTTTACACATTATGTATGGCTTTATGGGTGCATAAGTGCATTAGTGCATACATGCACCCATTCTAGACTTCTAGTCATAATCTTGTTCTAGAGATTCACTTATTTTAATTAGGTTAGAAAGTACATGTGAGAGTATGTAATGAAGAAATGTAAAACAAATACTCTCCATACCAACTCTAAGACACATGCACATACAAGTCCTGGTGTGAAACGAAATTGAATTCCCTATTAGAAAGATCTTGCATATTTAGCTATTTACACACCCGTTTATATTTCTGAAAGTGATAAATAACAAGTACTTCGTATAAAATTGCAATAGATGTCTGATGAAGATATACGACGCAAACTATTACCGTACGAACTTAAAAGCTCTTAAGTAGACACCAATTGAACATAGATTTCACTTGAGCCCTAAAAATCTTAGGCCGTAAACACCAGCACAAGTTACACACAAGTTACACTATAATGACACTATCTGGATTAAATGTCACGTAAAATGCACTAAACAGAATAACTTTTCTGAACAATACTAATTGTGTGAAACTGTATCGTCGACTTAGTTATACGAGGTTTGGTCATATGTCTACAAAATTAACCATGAATGCAGCCCAAAAGTCTCGCGGGTCAAGCGGATTTCAGCTTGGCTGATGTTGAAGCTAAGTGAGCAAGGGTCGAGTGTCCAACAAACATCAAGAAGATTGCAAGGATTCCAAGAGCTTTCAATGTGGTGAACAGATTCAACTACAAACACAAATACATGAATCCAATTTTAACACAATTTATTGTGGTAGGGGTGGGGGGTTCTTACATCTTCACCCACATATTCACAGAATAATAAACTGAATAATCAGAATCAGAGCCTGTTTGGATGCCATATTAATTTTATTCTGCTTATGAGCAAAATAAGCAAAAAGTAGCTTTTGACCTACTTATACAGCTGAACTTGGTATGTGTTACAAACCTCATTTTGACAAATAAAGCCAAAAAATCAGAAGAAAGCATGGTCTATGTACCTTTTGACTTAATAGGCTGAAATTAATGTTTTGAAACACTTTCTTTCAGATTCAGTGAATCATTTTTCAGCCACATAGTCCTTGCCATAGACTTGAGCACATGATTTTTTTATTTAAAATGAAAAGCAAGTAAAAACATGGTTTTTGTAGCATTAATAGGAGTCCAAAAGAGTAGACCTTCAACCAGAAGAGTAGATACAATGTAAGAACAGCTGCAATGCCAGCATGGAAAAGAGCAGCAAATGTTGCAGGTATGGTAGCAGTTGGGAAGCTCTTCAAATTCACCCCCAACCGTAAAAGCTGTCGACACAAAAATAAGCAAAGATAATAAATGGTCTTGGTTTCAGACTATAGTCCTAGCTTTCTTTAATGGCCAAAGCTACAATTGTTGCCAGGAAAAGCAAAACAAGGAATTTTTCAATTTTATAATAGCTAAATTGAGCTCTAAAGCATCCGCCACCTTCACCTCGACTACAAGCTTAATTTGAGAGGACTTATCAATATAATATTCTAAGGCCAAATTCACAACTCTGGAAAATGGAAAGGAGAATAATTTTTCAATTTCAGTTTTAACTTGGAAAATACGAAGGGAAATCAAATTTGATTAAAAATTAAAACTTTATATTTAATTTATTAGTCTTTAAATATTAGAAAATATTTAATTGAAGAATTTGAAAAAGAGCTAAAATAGATTTTTGTAGTTTGAAACAAATTTCTATTTTCCAACATATTTTCTTTCCTACCAAATTTTATCTCTGTTTTCTTATCATGCATTTTCATATTCCAAATGAACCCTAAGAAAAACCGTGCACGCTTTACAAATATACATGCAACGAATACTAACCCCAATAAAAAATCCAAAGAATGGCAAAAGGATGAATGCTGAAAATGCCAGAGAAAGCTCCCTGGGGGGCTGTTTTTCTGGAATTCTGAAAATGTGAGCTATTTCCGCTTTGGGCACATATCTTGAGGAAGTGTCAATGGGCTGCAAAGGAGGACGGAGTGCATTCTCAGGAGGCTCAGGCAGATCTAGTTCAACAAAGCCCAGTGATTGCAAGAAAGAGTTTTCCTGAAGCACAGCAACAAATACACAGCAAAATGGTAAGCAGGACTGTTTCTTATTGTACTGAAGTGATCCTGGAACCATATCACCGGTGGGTGCAGTGCGGAGGGATAGAGTATTAACATTTAACCAACGCATGTTTACCATAACAGCATCACCAACAGTGATTTGAATATCATATCTGCCTGATAGATAGAAAAGCTTCTCGACAAGTCCAAGAAAATCCTAAACAACACAGGGTACCATTAAGACATTAACAAATCTGAGTGAAACTCTTCTGAAGACGGAATATGGGTGAAAACACATGCAGTTTATTTATGTTTGACCTCAAACTGTGGTAAGCATAACTTGCTAACTATATAAGGATATTTTAGCATAGAGAAATAACGATAATGTCATGTCTATAGATAGTAACTAGAAGCTCTGCGGAAGGGTCTGTTTGAATTTACGTTGTCTATGAGCATGTTTGGTAGGCATAAGTCCCTAACTACTAACTTTTGTATTATTTAAAAAGTCTCTAAAAGCTTCTAGTTGAATGTTTGACATGACAATTTTTTAGAGCTTTTTAAAAAATAGAAGATTTTTTTTAGATGCTACAATGAGTAACATCTGGAAAAAGTCTGTAGCTTTTAGCATTAACTAGTCCCAATATTTTATCAAACAACTACCACCTTTTTATTTTAAGATCTTTTCAGACATTAAAAGCTAACAGTTACTAAAAAGCTCATAAAAGTATCTTTTCAGCTAGTTGGCCAAATATTTCTTAATAAATATTTTATATTTACAAAAACATTATGCTTAATATAACGACTAGCCATGTGACATTTCAATCACACTTTTGCTTCATCTTTGGAGAAACTTTTTTTTATTAAAATAAAGACTAAACCCTCCAAAGCATACCCTTCCATCGAAAGAGTCCCTTAAAAAACAGATCAAGATTCATGAATAAATGATTTTTCGGAACTTAACTAGTATAATCTCAAAATGGGTTCCAGAGTTCCCAACCACAAAGATGTGTTCGACTCCACTCTCGTGTCCCAACTTAAGGAATGCCTGCATGGAGGAGCGTAAAACGGTAATTTGAAGCACCTAGATGCCTAATGCAACCTTTGAAAAAATCAAATATGAAAGTAAAAATCAAGCTTCCGACCTGATGTGGTTTAAAAGCATGTCCAAGAGGAGTGGTTAACTGAAAAGTCAACCGAAGCTTCTGAAGGTGGTTTGCTGATAGAGAGACAGAATTCTCCCCAGCAAAATTCAACCTGAATTCAATGATTTATGAATAAATTCAGTGAGACAAGCTTGTACCATGTCGTGACCAATTAAGTAAAAGGCCTTATAACAATTACTCCTAGATACTTTCATTAGGTTTGACACAAACCCAGTGAACTCTACTAAAGAGGGAAGAAGCACTGGTCCAAAAGCGAATAGATAGAACTACATTTCACACGCACAAAAGTCTAATCAATTAGTAAAACTTTAATATGCATACTCACAACATTGTATGCAGGCAATGGCGGAAAACAAATGGAGTAACCAAAGTAATATAGAGGAAGAATAAATCACAATACATTTTTTTAGTTTCCACATTCTCAAGATCACTGTCAAGAACAGCAATTTCTGCATGGTCAGCCATGATGACTCCTGTGACATATATGCTCACTTTGCTTCTTCCACCTGTAACATAGATTTTCTTATGATCTGGATCATGAAGAACAATCTGCACAACAAGGACGAGTGAAAAGAAAGAAAATCATAGTTAACAGGAAAAAGATTAAAATGTGAGCAAAGCAAAACTTAGGAGAAAACAAATGAAGAATCATACATCAAAACTGAAAATGTAACTCCCAACATCAATGCTTTCTGGCAGAGCATCCAAGAAATGTACTGCATTTTTAGGATCAAACTTGAGGTCCTGAAGCATTCAAAAATAATAATTTATACAATGTCTATAAGTTAAAAAATAAAAGTCGCCATTATCACAAAAACTACTTCGGAAAAAGTAAATGAAAGCACCTTATATGTGGCCATGGATATTAAACATTATAGGCACTTAGTACCTGATCAACTAAAGATGCATCCTTTGAGCCTGAGACAAAAAACTGCTTGAGTCTTACTGACAGTGGAGGCGCAGAAGATCCCAAAACAGTGTTTACATGCACCTAAGTAGCATAACTAATGAAGTCAATTAATTGAAAAATAAATCGCTTTCTCAACCACCCCCAGTGCAAGAATAGACAGTTAAATTCATATGAAGAAATGCTCTTCAATCCATCTTGTCAAAGAATTTTGAATAA